CACAGCAATAATGAATATTTCTGACCTTAAACCAGGGTCATTTCTGATATCTTCCTCGATTCCTTTGGTCGTTTTTAGTGCATCACCCAGTGCTTTAGATGCTTTAAACCCATTTTTGGCCAAGTCGATGGCGGGTTGAACAAGGCGTTTCCATGGTAACCGACCATGTCGTTTCCAAGCCTCGAACTGACCGCGCACCTCGCCGGGAACAGCGATGGACCGACCACCTAAGGTTAATGGTTGTTAAGTTGGCGTTTTTTTGGGGTTTTATAAAAAAAATATTGTTTGTTAATTCGTTGGTGCCATCTGTGTAAGTAGGGTATTTCCTTAGACAGATATTAATAAACTTAACAAACGAGGTAATTATAGATTTAGTTTAACGCGCCGATTTTTTTTGGGATTTAAAGTACTCTGAAGGAGTCCAAAACTTCGAAGTAGAGAAAGAAAGTACGTTTGCATTGATCAATTAGTAGATACACTGAATTGGGGAACATGTCCATTACTCTGTTAAAGCAGAATAAATAATAATTAAAAAGTAGTAAATGGCACGCAAGTTAACAATGTTTTACGCACACGCAGATTGGCTAGCTCGGAAGTGAATAGCAAGTACCATTCACCTCCAAGCAGCCGAAGAGAAGAATTGGCATAATTTTAGCCTAATTTTTGGTATTGGTTTGGTTTATACTAAAACAGTCATTCACTTCCACTTCGGTGAAAAATTGTTAACGATAAGTTCACAACAAAATCATGCATAGACAAAAGTTTAGACCTTTCTTGGCTTCTTCCTCCCTGCCCCTGAATACATCCCAGTAGGCAGTAGCTGGGGCAGTTTCTCTGAAGTCGATGACTGTGGCTTTCTTTAATGTTTGATTGTACAGTAACATCACTCCCCCACCTCCTATCCCTGATGAGTGCATGCTGACCACACCCAAACAGAACATGGCGGCGATGGCAGCATCCACTGCAGAGCCGTTTGCCTTTAGGATGTTTTCTCCTATGTCAGAACACTGCTGTGTATCCGTGGCAACGGCTTCTCTTTTATAGGGTCCG